ACTGAGTGAATATAACTGTAAGAAATGCTGAAAAGAAATATTGCACAGAAGGAAACAAATGATGTTGTAAAAGATACAGATCTGAAGAATATATTCTCGTGGAAAGACATCCCATCCCATCCCATCCCATTGTGTGCTGCATTGTATTTGTAAAATGGGGACGTTTACTTATATACGGTAGGTACGTTTACTTGTCCAGAAAGGAAAGGTTCTTTAATTTGCCATTAAAATAAGCAAATCTCTGTTCAGCAGTGTCATTTTGTATCGAGTGCTTCTGCAATTCATAATGAAGAATAAGTGAAATCAGAAAAAAGTGTCCTTAACTAGAATACCGAAAGCTATCCTAAAAACTTACATTATTCTCGACAATTTAAATTTATCTCTCATTCTCATAAAAGTGATTTTTTTCGCCTGTGTTGATCGAAAAGAAAACGACGATCTACAAAGCGTTGACGGTTTCCGTTTTCATAACATCGTGGGAAAATAAATCTTCATAGGAATTTTCCCAAAGCTTTGAATGATATAAAGATCTTTTAACTTCAAAGAAATCGAAGCATTCAGCCGGGATAGAACTAAAATCGCCGAAACGAAAATAGGCAAGCATTTCAGCTGCCAAGCATATATAAATAATGGTATTTACAAATCTTTACTGTAGGCATCTATCCAGAGAGAGAGAGAGAGGCGATAGCCGTTATATGATTATCATATAGGAAGAAAATGAGTAACTACCGACACCAAGGTTCGAGCGTGATACTCCGGATTAATGAATATATGTTTTCCGTCAGGTGTATAAACAGCAGTGTCAGACTACTGACTGTAGTGATTATTGAGTGGAATTATCCAGTCGAATTAGTGTGAATTATTTTGCGTCGAAGATTTGAGTTTTGATTTAGGATTTACCGGACGTTAAGCCGAGTCGTGCTACTAACAAGTTATTCTCTCGCTGAAATGGTTAATTATCTTTGGTTGACTTTTACTTCTTTGTCGTTGTTAAGTATTTATTTGCGGTTGTAATTAAATACAGTTTTAATTAATATTGAAGTCTTGAGTTATATTTAATTATTAACAACGACCGTAAATCAAAAATAATACTTACAGCACTTCATGCGCAAGTATTATTGTCTATAATACGGACTTTATTCACAACAAAATTACACATCACCCTCTCTTTTTATAAGTGAAGGAAAGATCATTGAGTTAGAGTTTAACCTTGGCTACTGAATTGAAATTTATTTTTAAAACATTCTCAACTGAAGTAATGGAATTTTCATACACCCGTGCGTTCGAAATTATTTTCATCACAAGAATTTTCAGACGATTATCTTCGACTGTTCTGTTGCCTGAAAGTGAATAAGACGTTTTGATCAAATATTGATCGGATTAACATAAAGTCGAGTTACAAGGCCTTGCACCTGTAAAATGGATAGAAACAAAAATAAATGATAAATGCTAATGAAATACATTGATCAAAGATTGGTTAGATTAAGAGAAAGTTGGACTCTAGGAATTGGACCGGAAGAATGGATTGATAAAATAAGAAACAGTGAATGGATTTTTTTTAGATATTCTCCGAGGTGTTGTGAGCACAATGTATCGGCCAAGTACCAAGGTGTCTGCTATTTCGCTGATACCTGCTTGTTGTTGTGTTAACGACTCTAAGGGAGGTAAGTAAGGTAAATATATATATATATCATTGATGCATGTTTCATTAAATAATATAGATAAGTTGTGTCTATTTATTTTAAGTAAGGTCCTTTCATATTGTCTAATAATCTTAATAATATTATCATTGAAAGATGACAATTACTTTTCAATATATCAACCAATACACGGAACATTAATGATTGTCTGTTTTTGTTGCAAGAAAAAATTCAAAGCAACGACTAACTTGTGTATAAGTTTGTCGTTGCTTTGAAATTTTTCATGCAACAAAAACAGACTATCATTAATGTTCCGTGTATTGCTGATATATTGAAAAGATAAATTGTCATCTTTGATAATGGCTTATGTAAGCCGAAAGCTTAGATTGGATTTAAACATGTATCAATATGGGGATTTCCTTTCGTCTTTAAATGATAATGTTATTAAGCTTATTAGACAATAGGAAAGGAACTTACTTAAAATAGACAAAACTTGACTGTATTATTTAATGAAATATGCATCAATGAAAAATTGGTGCCTAAATATCCACAATATATATATATATATATATATATATATATATATATATATATATATATATAAATATATATAAATTATTAAAACATAAAATATTAGGCCAACAAATAAATAAAAAGATAAAGAGTGAGATTCCTTGGAAAAAATCTCTCATAACCACGCTTCCCAGTTTCAGATTGGTAGCTCTCCTCAGACAGGTTCAAAAAGCTATAATATAATGAACCCAGCAAGAAACTTATAGAACACCGTAAAGTGGATGGTATTGGTGGGAATGAGACTTAGAAGGGGGAGAGTCAGAACACCAGGAGATGGATGGTATTGGTAGGAGACAAGCTAAACTACAGTTGCACGAGCAACTTACAAAACTTCGAAAATTCTGGTGGCATCTGATGGCAATAAATACAACGAACAAAGGAAGAAAAACATTTGTCCTTTAAACTGTAAGACGCGTATAGTCTATTTAACAGAAGTTAGTGTCGGTAGCGGCTTCAGAAAAACGTCCATTTGTTCCACAGTGGGGCCCTTTAACAAGAGGTTTACAATCATACTACCTCATTTAGACAGGAGATACAAAATTGGCGGATTGATTCTGGAGTTACAAGCAAGAGAATGGTTGGGATCTCTGTGTGAAATAGAAGATAATTAGACCAGTCAATCCCGGCAAAGTCTGTGATAAAGCCTGCCGACTATGTCAGGAAGAAAATCTGTCAACAGCAACATATCCAGACAAACAAGTGATCCTCAATGAAAAGAATGGAATGGTTTACCGGGTGCAAGTAATTACGCTAATATTGACTGAAAAATTTCGGGCCTGAATGAATATTTTCCTCCTGATTTTTTTTGCTTAATTTTTTTGCGACATTTCCCATTCATAGACGTACTCTCACCAATCCCATCCATCTCCTGGTGTTCTTAGCATCACCTTTTAAGTCTCACTCCAACTTGAACCATCCACCTACTGGTGTTCTTACAAACCCCTTTCTAAATATCACTCCCACTTGTACCATCCACACACTGGTGTTCTTACCACCCCACTTCTAAATCTCACTCCCATTTGTACCATCGACCTACTGGTGTTCTAACCATCCCCCTTCTAAATTTAACTCCCACTTATAACAAACAGCTCCTGGTGTTCTTACCATTCCCATTTTAAGTCTCACTCCCACATGTAACATACACCTCCTGGTGAACTTACCATCCCCCTTCTAAATCAAACTCCTAATTGTACCATCAACCTCCTGGTGTTCTTACCATCCCCCTTCTAAATCTCACTCCCACTTGTACCATCCACCTCCTGATGTTCTTACCATGCCCCCTTTAAGTCTCACTCCCACTTGTACCATCCACATACTGGTGTTTTAACCACCACCACCTTTTAAATCTCACTCCGGCTTGTACCATCCACATCCTGGTGTTTTTACCATCCCCCTTCTAAATCTCACTCCCATTGAACCATCCACCTCCTTGTTTTCCTACCATCCCCCTTCTAAATCTCACTCACATTTGTACCCTCCACCTCCTGGTGTTCTTACCATCCCCCATCTAAATCTCACTCCCACTTGTACCATCCACATCCTTGTGTTTTTACCATCCGCCTTTTAAATCTCACTCCCATTTCTACCATCCACATCCTGGTGTTTTTACCATCCCCCTTCTAAATCTCACTCCCACTTGTACGATCCACCTCCTGGATTTCTTACCATCCCCCCTTTTATCTAAATCTCCCCCTCACTTGTACCATCCACCACCTGGTTTTCTTACCATGCCCCTTTTAAGTCTCACTCCCACTTGTACCATCCACATCCTGGTGTTTTTACCATCCCCCTTTTAAATCTCACTCCCAATTGTACCATCCACATCCTGGTGTTCTTACCATCCCCCATCTAAATCTCACTCCCACTTGTACCATCCACATCCTTGTGTTTTTACCATCCGCCTTTTAAATCTCACTCCCATTTCTACCATCCACATCCTGGTGTTTTACCATCCCCCTTTAAATCTCACTCCCATTTGTACCATCCACCTCCTGGTGTTCTTACCACCCCCTTTTAAATCTCAATTCTCCCCCATTTTGTACCATCCACCTCCTGGTGTTCTTACCGTCCCCCTTCTAAATCTCACTCCCACTTGTACCATCCACCTCCTGGTGTTCTTACCATGCCCCTTTTAAGTCTGGCTCTGATTTGTACCATCCACCCATCCACCTCCTGGTGTTCTTAACATGCCCCTTTTAAATCTCACTCTCCTCCCATTTGTACCATCCACCTCCTGGTGTTCTTACCATCCCCTTTTAAGTCTCACTCCCACGTGTACCATCCACGTCCTGGTGTTTTTACCACCCCTTTGTAAATCTCACCCCCACTTGTACCATCCACATCCCCTGTGTTTTTACCATCCCCTTTCAATTCTAAATCTCCTGGTGTTTTCCCCCCCTTCTAAATCTTGTACCATCCATCTCCTGGTTTTCTTACCATCCCCCTTCTAAATCTCACTCCCAATTGTACCATCCACCTCCTGGTGTTCTTACAATCCCCCTTCTAAATCTCACTCCCACTTGTACCATCCACCTACTGGAGTTCTTACCATCCCCCTTCTAAATTCCACTCCCACTTGTACCATCCATCTTCTGGTGTTCTTTCCATGCCCCTTTTAAATCTCACTCCCACTTGTACCATCCACCTCATGGTGTTCTTACCATCCCCCTTCTAAAACTTACTCCCAATTGTACGATTCACCTCCTGGTGTTCTTACCATCCCCCTTCTAAATCTCACTCCCACTTGTACCATCCACCTCCTGGTTTTCTTACCATGCCCCTTTTCAGTCTCACTCCCATTTGTACCATCCACCTCCTGGTGTTCTTACCGTCCCCCTTGTAAAACTCACTCCCAATTGTGCCATCCACCACCTGGTGTTCTTACATGCCCCTTTTAAGTCTGACTCTGATTTGTACCATCCACCTCCTGGTGTTCTTAACATGCCCCTTTTAAGTCTCACTCTGATTTGTACCATCCACCTCCTGGTGTTCTTACCATGCCCCTTTTAAGTCTCACTCCCACGTGTACCATCCACGTACTGGTGTTTTTACCACCCCACTTTTAAATCTCACTCCCACTTGTACCATCCACATCCTAGTGTTTTTACCATCCCCCTTCTAAAACTCACTCCCACTTGTACCATCAACCTCCTGGTTTTCTTACCATCCCCCTTCTAAATCTCACTCACAATTGTACCATCCACCTAATGGTGTTCTTACAATCCCCCTTCTAAATCTCACTCCCATTCTACCATCCACCCCTTGGAGTTCTTACCATCCCCCTACTAAATCTCACTCCCACTTTTACCATCCACCTCCTAATGTCATTATCATCCCCCTTCTAAATCTCACTCCCACTTGTACCATACACCTCCTGGTGTTCTTACCACCCACCTTCTAAATCTTACTCCCGATTGTACGATTCACCTCCTGGTGTTCTTACTATCCCCCTTCTAAATCTCACTCCCAATTGTACCATCCACGTCCTGGTTTTCTTACCATGCCCCTTTTCAGTGTCACTCGCACTTGTACCATACATCTCCTGTTGTTCTTACCATACCCCTTCAAAATCTCACTCCCAATTATACCATCCACCTCCTGGTGTTCTTACCATCCCCCTTCTAAATCTCACTCCCACTTGTACATTCACATCCTGGTGTTTTTACCATCCCCCTTTTATATCTGACTCCCTTTATACCATCCACATACTGGTGTTTTTACCATCCCCCTTCTAAATCTCACAAACATTTGTACAATCCACCTCCTGGTTTTCTTACCAACGTCCTTCTAACTCTCACTCCCATTTGTACCATCCACCTCCTGGTGTTCTTAGCATCCCCCTTCTAAATCTCACTTCCACTTGCACCATCCACCTCCTGGTGTTCTTACCATGCCCCTTTTTAAGTCTCACTCCCACTTGTACCATCCACATCCTGGATTTCTTTCCATCCCCTTCTAAATCCACATTTGTAACATCCACCTCCTGGTGTTCTTACCATCCCCCACCCCTTGTTCTTACAAATCTCACTTGACTTGTACCATCCAACTCCTGGTGTTTTTACCATCCCCCTTTAAATCCATCCCCTTTTTTAAATCTCACCCCATTTGTACCATCCACTTCCTGGATTTCTTACCATCCCCATTTTAAATCTCACTCCCATTTGTCCCATCAACCTCCTGGTGTTCTTACCATGCCCCCTTTAAGTATCACTCCCACATGTACCATCCACATACTGGTGTTTTTACCACCACACTTTTAAATCTCACTCCCATTTGTACCATCCACATCCTGGTGTTTTTACCATCCCCCTTCTAAATCACACTCCCACTTGTACCATCCACGTCCTGGTTTTCTTACCATCCCCCTTCTAAATCTCACTCACATTTGTACCATCCACCTTCTGGAGTTCTTACCATCCCCCTTCTAAATCTCACTCTCACTTGTACCATCCACCCCCTGGTTTTCTTAACATGACCCTTTTAAGTTTCACTCCCACTTGTACATTCACATCCTGGTGTTCTTACCATCCCCCTTTCAAATCTCACTACCACTTGTACCATCCAACTCCTGGTGTTTTTACCATCCCCCTTTTAAATCTCACTCCCATTTGTACCATCCACTTCCTGGATTTCTTACCATCCCCATTTTAAATCTCAGTCCCATTTGTACCATCAACCTCCTGGTGTTCTTACCATGCCCCCTTTAAGTATCACTCCCACATGTACCATCCACATACTGGTGTTTTTACCACCACACTTTTAAATCTCACTCCCATTTGTACCATCCACATCCTGGTGTTTTTACCATCCCCCTTCTAAATCACACTCCCACTTGTACCATCCACGTCCTGGTTTTCTTACCATCCCCCTTCTAAATCTCACTCACATTTGTACCATCCACCTTCTGGAGTTCTTACCATCCCCCTCCTAAATCTCACTCACATTTGTACCATCCACCTTCTGGAGTTCTTACCATGCCCCTTCTAAATCTCACTCACCTTGTGCTATCCACATCCTGGTGTTTTTACCATCCCCGTTTGAAATCTCACTCACACTTGTACCATCCATATCCTGGTGTTTTTACCATCCCCCTTCAAAACTAAATCCCACTTGTACCATCCACATCCTGGTGTTTTTACCATACCCCTTCTAAATCTCACTCCCACTTGTACCATCGATATCCTGGTGTTTTTACCATCCCCCTTCTAAATCTCACTCCCATTTGTACCATCCACCTCATGGTGTTCTTACTATCCCCCTTCTAAATCTCACTCCCACTTGTACCATCCATCTCCTGGTGTTCTTACCATGCCACTTTTAAGTCTCACTCTCAATTGTACCATCCACCTCCTGGATTTCTTACCATCCCCCTTCTAAATCTCACTCCCATTTGTACCATCCACCTCCTGGTGTTCTTACCGTCCCCCTTCTAAATCTCTCTCCCACTTTTACCATCCACCTCATGGTGTTCTTACCATCCCCCTTCTAAATCACACTCCCACTTGTACCATCCACCTCCTGGTGTTCTTACCATGCCCCTTTTAAGTCTCACTCCCAGTTGTACCATCCACATCCTGGTGTTTTATCATCCAGCTATTAAATCTCACTCCCACTTGTACCATCCACCACATGGTGTTCTTAACATGCCCCTTCAAAATCTCACTCACATTTGCACCATCCACATGCTGGTGTTCTTACCATACCCCTTCTAAATCTCACTCTCCCTTGTACCATACATCTCCTGGTGTTCTTACCATGCCCCTTTTTAGTCTCACTCTAAATTGTACCATCCACATCCTGGTGTTTTTACCATGCCCCTTTTAAATCTCTCTCCCACTTGTACCATTCCACATCCTGGTGTTTTTACCATCACCCTTTTAAATCTCACTCCTAATTGTACCATCCACATCCTGGTGTTTTTACCATCCCCCTTTTAAATCTCTCTCCCACTTGTACCATCCACATCCTGGTGTTTTGTCCATCCCCCTTTTAAATCTCACTCCCATTCGTACCATCCACCTCCTGGTGTTCTTAGCATCCCCCTTCTAAATCTCACTCCGATTTGTACCATCCACATACTGGTGTTCTTACGATGCCCCTTTATGTCTCACTCCCACTTGTCCCATCCACCTCCAGGTGTTCTTACCATCCCCCTTCTAAATCTCACTCTCCCTTGTACCATACATCTCTTGGTGTTCTTACCATGCCCATTTTAAGTCTCACTCTCAATTGTACCATCCACCTCCTGGTGTTTTTACCATCCCCCTTTTAAATCTCTCTCCCACTTGTACCATCCACATCCTGGTGTTTTTACCATCCCCCTTTTAAATCTCACTCCCAATTGTACCATCCACATCCTGGTGTTTTTACCATCCCCCTTTTAAATCTCTCTCCTACTTGTACCATCGACATCCTGGTGTTTTTACCATCCCCCTTCTAAATCTCATTCCCATTTGTGCCATCCACCTCCTGGTGTTCTTACCATCCCCCTTTTAAATCATGTCACTCCCTCTTGTACCATCCACATCCTGGTGTTTTTACCATCCCCTTTAAATCTCTCTCCAACTTGTACCATCCCACCCATCCCCCTTTTACCATCCACCATCCTGGTGTTTTACCATCCCCTTTTAAATCTCACTCCCACTTGTACCATCCACATCCTGGTGTTTTTACCATCCCTCCTTTAAATCACACTCCCCATTTGTACCATCCACCTCCTGGTATTCTTACCATGCCCCTTTTAAGTCTCACTCCCAGTTGTACCATCCACATCCTGGTGTTTTATCATCCAGCTATTAAATCTCACTCCCACTTGTACCATCCACCACATGGTGTTCTTAAGATGCCCCTTCAAAATCTCACTCACATTTGCACCATCCACATGCTGGTGTTCTTACCATACCCCTTCTAAATCTCACTCTCCCTTGTACCATACATCTCCTGGTGTTCTTACCATGGTTTAGTCTCCTCCCAAATTGTACCATCCACATCCTTGTTTTTACCATCCCCTTTAAATCTCTCTCCCCAATTGTACCATCCACATCCTGGTGTTTTTACCATCACCCCCCTTTAAATCTCACTCCCAATTGTACCATCCACATCCTGGTGTTTTTTTACCATCCCCCTTTAAATCTCTCCCCACTTGTACCATCCACATCCTGGTGTTTTGTCCATCCCCCTTTAAATCTCTGTGTTTTACCCCCCTTTATTCTCCATCCACCTCCTGGTGTTCTTAGCATCCCCTTCTAAATCCATTTGTACCATCCACATGGTGTTTGTCCATGCCCCTTTAAAATCTCTCTCCCACTTGTCCCATCCACCTCCAGGTGTTCTTACCATCCCCCTTCTAAATCTCACCATCTCCCTTGTACCATACATCTCTTGGTGTTCTTACCATGCCCATTTTAAGTCTCCAATTTACCATCCACCTCCTGGGTGTTTTTACCATCCCCTTTTAAATCTCTCTCCCACTTGTACCATCCACATCCTGGTGTTTTACCATCCCCCCTTTAAATCTCCCTCCATCCTGGTGTTCATCCTGTGTTTTTACCATCCCCCTTTTAAATCTCTCTCCTACTTGTACCATCGACATCCTGGTGTTTTTACCATCCCCCTTCTAAATCTCATTCCCATTTGTGCCATCCACCTCCTGGTGTTCTTACAATGCCCCTTTTAAGTGTCACTCCCTCTTGTACCATCCACATCCTGGTGTTTTTCCATCCCCCTTTTAAATCTCACACCCACTTGTACCATCCACATCCTGGTGTTTTTACCATCCTCCTTTTAAATCTCACTCCCACTTGTACCATCCACATCCTGGTGTTTTTACCATCACCCTTCTAAATCTCTCTCCCACTTGTACCATCCATATCCTGGTGTTTTTAGCATCCCCCTTCTAAATCTCACTCCGATTTGTACCATCCTCCTCCTGGTGTTCTTACCATGCCCCTTTATGTCTCACTCCCACTTGTACCATCCACATCCTGGTGTTTTTAGCATCCCCCTTCTAAATCTCACTCTCCCTTGTACCATCCATATCCTGGTGTTTTTTACCATCCCCTTCTAAATCTCACTCTCCTTGTACCATCCATCTCCTGGTGTTCTTACCATGCCCCTTTATGTCTCACTCCCACTTGTACCATCCACATCCTGGTGTTTTTACCATCCCCCTTTTAAATCTCACTCCCACTTGTACCATCCACATCCTGGTGTTTTCACCATCTCCCTTCTAAATCTCACTCCCACTTGTACCATCCACCTCCTGGTTTTCTTACCATCCCCCTTTTAAATCTCACTCCCACTTGTACCATCCACCTCCTGGTGTTCTTACCATGCCCCTTTTAAGTCTCACTCTCAATTGTACCATCCACATCCTGGTGTTTTTACCATCCCCCTTTTAAATCTCACTCCCACTTGTACCATCCACATCCTTGTGTTTTTACCATCACCCTTCTAAATCTCACTCCCACGTGTACCATCCACTTCCTGGTGTTCTTACCATGCCCCTTTTAAGTCTCACTCCCACTTGTACCATCCACATCCTTGTGTTTTTACCATCCCCCTTCTAAATCTCACTCCCACGTGTACCATCCACTTCCTGGTGTTCTTACCATGCCCCTTTTAAGTCTCACTCCCCACTTGTACCATCCACCTCCTGGTGTTCTTACCATTCCCTTTAAATCTCACTCTCACTTGTACCATCCACATCCTGGTTTTTTTTCCATCGCCCTTTTAAATCTCTCTCCCACTTGTACCATCCACATCCTGGTGTTTTTACCATCCCCCTTTTAAATCTCACTCCCAATTGTACCATCGACATCCTAGTGTTTTTACCATCCCCTTTTAAATCTCTCTCCCACTTGTACCATCCACATCCTGGTGTTTTTACCATCCCCCTTTTAAATCTCACTCCTACTTGTACCATCCACATCCTTGTGTTTTTACCATCACCGTTCTAAATCTCACTCCCACGTGTACCATCCACTTCCTGGTCTTCTTACCATGCCCCTTTTAAGTCTCACTCCCACTTGTACCATCCACCTCCTGGTGTTCTTACCATCCCCCTTCTAAATCTCACTCCCACTTGTACCATACATCTCCTGGTGTTCTTACCATGCCCCTTTTAAGTCTCACTCTCAATTGTACCATCCACATCCTGGTGTTTTTACCATCCCCCTTTTAAATCTCTCTCCAACTTGTACCATCCACATCCTGGTGTTTTTACCATCCCCCTTTTAAATCTCACTCCCAATTGTACCATCCACATCCTGGTGTTTTTACCATCCCCTTTAAATATTTCTCCCCCACTTGTACCATCCACATCCTGGTGTTTTTACCATCCCCCTTTTAAATCTCACTCCCAATTGTACCATCCACATCCTGGTGTTTTTACCATCCCCCTTTAAAATCTCACTCCCACTTGTACCATCCACATCCTTGTGTTTTTACCATCCCCCTTTAAAATCTCACTCCCACTTGTACCATCCACTTCCTGGTGTTTTTACCATCCCCCTTTTAAATCTCACATCCCTAAATTTGTACCATCCACTTCCTGGTTTTCTTACCATCCCCTTGTAAATCTCAATCCCACTTGTACCATCCACCTCTTGGTGTTTTTACCATCACCCTTCTAAATCTAACTCCCACGTGTACCCTCCACCTCCTGGTGTTCTTACCATGCCCCTTTTAAGTCCCACTCCCACTTGTACCATCCAAATCCTGGTGTTTTTCCATCCCCCTTTAAAATCTCACTCCCACTTGTACCCTCCACATCCTGCTGTTTTTACCATCCCCCTTTTAAATCTCACTCCCACTTGTACCATCCACATCCTGGTGTTTTTCCATCCCCCTTTTAAATCTCACTCCCCTTGTTGTACCATCCACATCCTGGTGTTTTTACCATCCACCTTTTAAATCTCACTCCCACTTGTACCATCCACCTCCTGGTGTTCTTTGCATCCCCCTTCTAAATCTCACTTCCATTTGTACCATCCACCTCCTGGTGTTCTTACGATGCCCCTTTTAAGTCTCACTCCCACTTGTACCATCCACCTCCTGGTGTTCTTACCATCCCCCTTCTAAATCTCACTCTCCCTTGTACCATCCATCTCCTGGTGTTCTTACCATGCCCCTTCAAATCTCACTCCCTCTTGTACCATCCACCTCCTGGTGTTCTTACCATCCACCTTCTATGTCTCTTCCCACTTGTACCATCCACCTCCTCGTGTTCTTACCATCCCCCTTCTAATCTCACTCCCACTTGTACCATCCACCTCCTGGTGTTCTTACCATCTCCCTTCTAAGTCTCACTCCCACTTGTACCATCCCCCCTCCGGTGTTCTTTGTTGTGGAGTTCACTATACTACAGCTTTTTCAACCTTCCTGAGGTGATCTAGCAATCGAAATCCGGGTGGCATGAGTGATTTTTTTCAAAGGTTTATATATATATATATATATATATATATATATATATATATATATATATAAAGTCCAGACATATATACATAGAGCAGTTGGGTAGGGATGTAGATTTTAACTACAACTGACAGGGTGAAGTCTAAAATTAATAAAATACCAATATATATATATATATATATATATATATATATATATATATATATATATATATATATATATATATATATATATATATATATATATATATATCAAACTTTGTTATTTATTTTGACTTCACCCTGTCAGTTGTAGTTAAACGTACGCGATCTGCATCCATACCCAAAACAGGCGCCATCTTTTTACTGCTCTATGTATATTTGTCTTGACTTTCGTACGCACCAGATTGATACCTACCGATCTGAGACTCCTATAAAACAAAATTATGCCTGTGATTATCATGCATGTCAAACCCATTTCCATATTTTTCACTTTTGTGCAGGTCAGGCATATGTCTGCCTTTGTGACCCTATCTAAGAGAATTCGGTATTAAATAGCAAAAACAATGGAATATACCCTAAATTAAATCCATCGTTTTTATTAATATTGTTTCAGTTCAATTTACAGTTACAAATTACCCAGACAGATATTTTCTTGTACTTCCCGATATGTTAAAACTTCTTTTCCGAGAAGATAATATTAAGTCTTGCTAAGATTTTAGCTCCAAAGTTGAGAGCTTGGATAGTAACCATTAAAAATGACAACAATTGAAAATAAAGATTTGAAAAGGAAAATGAATGATGGAGAGCTTGATGACGAACACTAATATAAAATCAGATTTATATAAATTGTCCCCTCAAGAAACCCTTTGTGTAACGCTTCATATTCCGGAAGCAACATTACATACAAATACAACTGAAGATAGCAAACATTTAAAATGGCTGCCATTCGTTCCCATTCAAGGAAGAGACATGCCACATTAAAACTTTCAAACGTCTCAAGTGTTATCAAATGTTAATTCCATATTTGATTGGCAATTGATCCCTACATAGCATCAGTTACCTACTAATCATATTTGACAAGGTCCACTCATTCTGAAGACAAATTATTCCTCTTTATTGGAAAGATTTATTCCTTATATATCAAGTGTGACACCCACATATATCACTGTTTAAATAATTAATTCAATTTCTACGTTGTCATCATTAGAAACTACAAAGAGATTCTTGGGATATAACCGCCAGAGTAATTTTCAAATTTTTAAAATAGTTGTGTTTCGACCAATAATTTTAGTGTATATCAGAAATAGTGCAAATTTTGAAAGACAAGGGTGATATATTGGCAGAAAAGGTACGCTTTCAGTCAGCATTTCGACATAGTTTCCATCGCGATGCTGGGTAATATGGACAATTGACGTTCGTTAACGACATATATTTATTACAGAATCATTTTATGTAAACGTCTGCGTTATTTTTCTTTAATGATAAGAAATACATCAGAATTTTGAAAACCATAAAAAATGATTAGATTTACTGATAGATTTATTATGGAATGAACGATATTATAAGAATTGACGAGATTTCCTTTGCCCAATAGAAAGAAGGAAACAGCAAAATCTTTGGTATCTGTTGAATTGACTGTTAGAAACACAAATCGGAAATATAAATAAAAGCTTTTAAGTAAATTTTCGGATTAAAAGGCTTGTCTACAGAACCACATTATTCCTATGGTTTCAGAGAAATGGTAAACGCCTTCATTAAAAATAACAGTGGTTTGGAACGTTGCCTTGCGATCACGAGACAAGGTTTCGAATCTCATTATGGTCGATTTGTCAGGACGATGATTTAATAAATAATATAAAGTTGTCTTGATCCGTGGTCCATATGAAATCAGAACGAGCTTTATATAATAGCGTTTGCTATGGCGGTTAGCAGATATAACTTATGTACATATAAAGACTGACTGCTTGTTTCTGAATATGCTTGAGGATGGCGAGCCCATCCTTGTTGCAGACGATTTCTCAGGCACATTTGTTCAACACCAACATAGTTGTTTACACTACACTTCTTCTGAACGGATCTTACGCAGTTGGGCTGAATAGTTCATAGGGTAACTATAAAAGAGTAATGCTAGAACTGTGAAATCTTGTATGTCTTCATTTCCATTCATATTAATAATTGCATTTTTTCGTTCCAGGTAAACTGACCTAGGAAACGACTAACCAGCTATTATATATATTTATATATATATATATATATATATATATATATATATATATATATATATATATATATATATATATGTGTGTGTGTGTGTGTGTGTGTGTGTGTGTATATATGTGCATGCCAGACTATATGCGTTAGTATATCGGCATATCTATACACGGGTCATTTGTTTCAACGATGTACAGAATAATAAAATGTAAGGCACACAAGCGGTTAGTAAACCATTAAAATCCTCTAATAGACCCCTGCAGTATCATGCATCCCGTGAATACTCCGTTCCAATGTTCCCTTGCAATGCTCCTTAAACCAGTTCTGAGCCACAAGTGTCTCAATGACATGGTGCATTATCCTTCTTGATTAACCCGTCTTGATATATGTATATCTTCCAATGGTCACCAGTCAATGACGTATTTCGACGAACGAGCGGTTGTAACATATGCACCATGAATACACACTAAGATAATGACAATGGTAATATTTGTCGTTTCCTTATAAGAAATCATTCATCATTCATTGACCGAACATCCGTTGCTGTTGCCAGTGGAAATTTTATAAAATCTATATATTATAGAGGTTTGTCATGTCCACTAGATGTTATCGCCCTTTCCAGTATTGATGATGGTTTCCTTCCTTGCCTTTTGCATTAAGCAATGTGGAATATCAACATTATCATTATGTCATTATATATATGTTACATGTAGCACCTATTTTAGTTGCTGCTTGTGTTAAAAGAAGCTAGTAGAGGAAAACAAGAAGTAATGACTAAACATAAATTGAAACCTGATTATGCAACCTACAAATTAGAGAGTACAAAACCAATCAAGTACATACTTGTGCAAATTAATTGAAACAACTGCTTTAGTTTCCTTTCTTTCACCATACGGTCAGTTTTAGACGCACTGGAGTGACAGGGTGTGACCAATTTTTTCCTCAGATTAGGCCATTTGCCGTGGGGTGCAAAAATATTAATCTATTTTCAGGGAGTATGATGAAATTTATTTGGCCTTGAATAATATTGCGTCATCCATGATTGCATCGGATACTATTGTCTCGACTCTCGATTAGTTGTCCTACGGCCATTGTCTGCGATAGACGTTACTTCAAGGAAGCGTACGAAAAAGGCGGATAGCCAATCCCTTTTTTCAGATGGCGCATTTAAGCCGCGCCAAGACATAATTTATTTTCATTTAGATTTAAATCCGTTTATATTGCAAGGTAAAGGTTGGGTCAAAATTAAGCCCTTTAATGGTATATGTTAGCCTAGACTACATGCCCCAGTTTTTTCTGTCTGGATTTACTTCCATAACCTTTTCCGAATTTGGATATAACCGAAAGGCATTGAAGGTTTAAAATCACGATTTTCCTTCTCCTAGATGAACTGCTTTCCTAGACCTTTGAGCTCCATGGAACAAATATATTGGAGAACTCTTCTACAGCGAAAAGAACAACCGGCAATACACAGAAATATTGACGGACCCGAATTATTAAAAAAACGAAGTGAAATCTTCACTGGCCAGAAACAAGGCGGTAGGATCAGACGGAATTGTAGTAGAGATCTTTGCTGCTTAGACGAGTTCGACAGAGACAAGTTTACAGAAATAATAAATTAAATCTGCAACAGTGGCGATATACCGGAAGACTTAAGTAAATCTATTTCCATAGCATTGCCTAAGAAATCAAGTGTAAACGAATTTGAACTCCATCGGAAAATCAGTCTAATGAGCCACATAACCAAACACATCATTCGAATTCTGTAGAATAGGGCAGAATCAATGGAACAAGGAACACGATATTTATGCTCAGAATAGTATCAAAAAGAGCAATACAAATGCAGAAGGACGAGTATTTTATAGATTAAACAAAGGCATTCGATAAAGTACGTTACAAAGATCTGTTGGAGCTTCTCACCAATTTTGAGATATTTGGAAAGGATATTCGAATAATCAAGAATTTGTACTGGCGGCAAATTGTTTGCATACGGATGGTAAATGAGTTCATCAGATATACTAAAATAGAAATTGGTGTAAGGCAAGGCTGTGTCTTCTTACCAAAACTTATTCAACCTGTACAGCGAGGCATTTCTGAGAGAATTAGACGCTCTACCAGGATTCATTATTGGCGGCCAGAATGTTAACAACACAACATATGCAGATGACACAGTGATGATAGCCGACACGGAAAGAAAACTACAAAAGCTCTTACAGAAGGTAGTGAAAGAATGCGAGATAAAAGGACTAAGCAAAATACAAGAAGACTAAATGAATGGTTGTTTGGATAAGTCCAAAATGCAAATTATAAATGGGAGATAACAAAATCAAACAATTACTAAACTTTAAATATCTGGGAAATGTTTTAACAGCGGACGGATAGGGCGACACTGAAATCAGAAGGCGTATTGGGATAGCCAAAGAGGCATTCCAAAAACTAAACTAAACAGAGAATTAAGAGATCGTGAGGACCTTATAAAGAAGTACTAAACTGTTATGTAATATATATCCTACAATGTCAGTGAATTCTAGACAATCTCCTCGTACATGTAAAAGAGACGTAAAGAAACAGAAATGTGTTTCGTCAGAAGGATGTTGAGGATACCATGAACCGAAAATATGAGTAACAGCAAGTTTTAGAGAAATAAAACGAAACTTATACATCAGGATGAGAGAGTTAAAACTTCTGGTATATAAAATGAGGAAGTAGGGCTTGGAAAATCTGATAGTCACAGATTGAGAGTATGAAGGACAGAGGAAAACAATGTATAACCTATTTGATGAGCTTAACTAAACATATGATGGAAAAGGGTTTAGGAGTCATAAGGAAATGCAAAATCTGTTAAGAGCTACAAGCAGGGATAATTGCAGAAAGCCAGGATTTCCCACAGTCGATATGGCACATAAAGTAAAAGAAGAATTCAATTTATGACTTTCTAAAAATAATTTAGAAATTAAAGTTGGGTTACCCAAAGCGGATCAAACTCAATACTTACAGAAAGTGCAGGGTGCCTCACAATATATGAAACGCAGTGAAACAAAATGGCTCTTATATAGTCGAATAAATCTATGTATTAATGTCTAAATTTAAAACCGCTATGAACTTTAGGATTTACCTTTTCGGAACGTGTGATCAATATTTAGTTCGGATTCATTTATTTATGTTCATCAAGCCTTACGTAAAAAGATTAGCGTAATACAATCTTCATATCTCTCAAGCTTGTTACCATGACCTTGTGCCGTACTATTGCTAAAATTTGTAATTATGACCATGGGATCTCGAATGAGTTGAGATCTGAAAGCGACAAATGAAAATAATTAATTGAAGGAAACAGGAACAGGATTTTTCTTCCATTTTGTTGCTTTCTCTCCAACACCGCTTTCTCACCGAAAATAGATTCTTGACACCTTTTACTATTCCTTCTACTTCTTCTAATTGCTCACAGGAATTTATTAAATTAAGAACGCCCAGAATCTCATTTTGTACGTCAGGACCGCCTTTGGTAATCTTCCAAAAGAGAAAATAGAAAAGGTAGATAATCAGAGGAAGTAGTCAAAGACCACCTGATGTTCGTTCAAATCACCACTCTCGCTTATTCTCTCTCTCTCTCTCTCTCTCTCTCTCTCTCTCTCTCTCTCTCTCTCTCAAACACACTTTATCTATCTATCTATCTATCTATCTATCTATCTATCTATCTATCTCTTACCAAATTTGAAACAATGGTGCTTTTGCAGCATTAGTTTCCTGCTAGATTCGCTGAGAGAATTACAGATGATAAAAAACATGCACACAAAACATTTGGAGAAAAGACTCTTGAAACTTTTCATTAACATCAAAAGTCCCTTCATTCTCAACCGATTTTGAAAGCAACGCCATTACTCTAACAATTTCACAGTTTTTGCTCTTCGCTGTTCTCTGTAAAATGCTAAGGATAAAACATTTTTTCGCTCAGAGCTCCCTGTATTTTTTTTTTCCATTTATTGTTTGTTTCTTATTCCAAGGAACGGAGCTTTGATCGACGTTTTTTTTTAAGGTTACATAATCAGTAAATGCTCTGATCACTTAAGCGATCAATTCTTTCCGCTTATAAAGATGTCAACGGCGCTAATAGTTCCTATATTTTTTACACGGATTTGGCTTTCAAACAAAGACAATAATGTTTATAAAAAGCCACTTATATTTTCAATACTATAAAAATGATATCAACAAATATGACCCTATGTAAAATATGTAAAATTATATGTAAAATTATAAAAGAATCGTTTTATTATGAGAAAAGAATTGAAAGATCCATACACAACTAAGTTTGATTTTTTGATAATGTCAGGCTCCATTGACTTGTCAAATAAATCCGTTCCTTTTTTTCAATGTTATTTGAATTAAGGCGTAAAATATTTTTAGCGTAGTGTTTCATGATTTTTTTCTTGCTCTATTCTTTATCTACAACTTATTTTATTGTTTTCGAAATAATTAAATGATTTTTTTTCCTCTTTTCAAACATATATTGATGGAGTGTGAAATATAGGAAAAGTTCATTTTCGACACCGGATTCTTTAACACAATAGCACTTGGTTAAATGCAATTCAAGCGCTTGGTCAGATAGTTCTATCCCACCCACCGTATTCTACTGTATTTGGTGCCTTCAGATTTTTTTTTTAATCATTTTTCAACAGTCTGTGATGCAGTTGAAAACGTGGCTCGATGAATTCTTCGAAACAGGATTCGGGGATATCTCGCGTCAAGGCAATGACAAACTGGTGGAACCCTTCCAAGTTGTGAACAATGAGGATATATTTTTGATTGATTTGTCAAATTTGCTGAGGAATAATAGGATCAGTATAAGTAGAAAAAACGAAGAATTTTTCTGAAAAACCAATATTATGCAAGTGAATATTTTCACAATACTATTGATATTAACAAACCATTATTGATATAATTTTCAGGATATTTTTTTTATATTTTTATATGCAATCGAGGCTCTGATTATAATAAGCAGCCTTATTACAGAAATTGATAACTTGTTTTGTTAGCTTGTCAAATTTTATTTTGCTAAAACGTCTATTTTCAAAAGCTTTAAACCGGCCATAAATGATATATTTTAACACAATAACACAGAGTTGAATAAATCATCATCTGTCTATATTTCTGAGATGAGGTATTATATACACTACATACATTATTCAGACTATTGTCCTCATCTTTGTCGCCATATTTATTACAACGTTTCGGCCGTTGTACGCTCTGACCTTCTTCTAAAAACAGTTCGCTTGCCTTATGTGAAGGGATTATCAGAGAAAATACAAAGGATCTGTGGTACATATAACATCAGGACAACCTCCAAAAGTTAGACGACACTTCGCAGATATCTCTCTTGAGTAAGACCCGCCCCCATAGAGGAGAACATGACTAAAGACTGTGTTTACACTATCCCGTGCAGCTACAGAAAGAAATATACAGGGGAGACTGGCCACCCCCTTAAGGTAAGGCTTCAAGAACACCAGAAAGCTGTAACACAAGTGGGGAAGTGGAAAAATCTGGCGTTGCTGACCACATATGGAGAGAAAAGGGAGATCACCGCCCTCTGTTGGATGAGGTTGAGATCAGAGACAAAAACACCATTGGAAAATTCGTACATTTAATGAATCAACACATATAATAGATCACAGAATCTCCTGAGCCGACCAAGCATAGAAATGAATACAATATGAGGATCAGTAATAAGGAGTGCCAGTGAAAAGCGATAACAACAAAAATTGCAATATGAGCTCTGGTAAAAAACATGCAATAATAACAGCAAAAATGGTTGCTGAAGACATTAGGTTTATAATACCCAGAAATTCATACACAGATGTCAACAAGGAAACATGGCACCGCGGATAAAGGCGTTGGTTAGATCTAGTGACAGGACCCAAAGAGTGTGAGTTCAATACCCGGTGGAGAACTCATAGAGGGTAATTAAAAGGAGATAACTGATAACTGACATCCATTAGACATGGCACGTGGAACCAGAATAGCCTACTCCAGAGGCGAAATAAAGGATTAAGTTCAATATTCCAGCCACCTGAAGAAGACCGAAGCGTACAAAGGCCGAAACGTTGTAATAAATATGGTGACATAGATGAGGATAATAGTCCGAATAATGTAAATAGTTTGAATAAATCATTATTATATTGACATGTTAATATTCATTCTTTGATATTCGATAATTTTCATAATTTGACTATATCTCTGAAATTAAGTATTATGAATAATTACATTATTCGGACTGTTATCCTCAGCTTCATTGCCATATTCACAACGCTTCGGTCTAACCAACATCTTTATCGACTGGGCCATGGGTCCTCAAGGACATCAATATATAAATTTTCTATGTCTTTTATACCAGTGCTCATATTGCAATTTTTTATTATTATTGCATTTTTTACCAGAGCTTATATTGCTTTTCTCTAGACTCAAAGAGTTGTGAAGTCCATACAAGGCCACAGCAGAGTTGAGAAAGGGAAATAATTGATTGAGGCATGGCACGTGAAATGAGAACCATCTAACCCGGTGGACGAAATAAAGGGTTCGGTTCAAAAGTCCAGTCACCTGAAGAAGGTCGGATGTACTACGGCTGAAACGTTGTGAATATGGCAATGAAGATGAGGATAACAGTTAGAATAATGTAAATAATGCAATGAAACATTATTATCTACACTCTTCTACTGCTTGAAATTATTTACATTATTTACAAATGTTTATATTGATTCTCATTTCTGTTTGTTTGAATTTAGTTTCCTTTTCTATTGTGAGTTGATAATCCATCCAATATAGCTCTACATTCATCACTAAATATGACTTTGAAAGATCAGTTTACATGTGCTTCTTAAATGATTTTGTATGTGATTTTTACCCGCAAAGACTTAGTTTTTTTTTTAGTTCGAGTATTTAGAACATATTTTAATTGTTTTCAGATTTTCACTCTGTCTATATTTGCAACAGAATTTCTTCAAAGATTTTCTTCAGCTAAAACAAATTTCCTATCTTATTATTTTTTAACATTTTATCAAATCTCTTCTTAAGACGTTCTCCAAAATGGCTTGATCTGTTCTTCTTATCTTACTTCTGTTTTCAATTGAATTATTTTATTGTTTTTTGATCTCTTTTCAAGTTTCTCACAATTTCCAAAGTTGTGCGCCTATCATGCTATTTGTCTGCTCTTTTGAAGTGATATCTTTTTACGAAACCCGGAAATCATATATCCACACTCACTCACACACACGCACACACACACATACGTATATATATATATATATATATATATATATATATATATATATATATATATATATATATATATATATATATATATTTAATGAAAAAACGGACCACTTTAAGGTACCATTACAATAATTTATTTCACCAAAATCCTTTTTAAAGGATTTCGGATCATCAGGTAACACTTCCAACAATGTTAAAGTGGTCTGTTTTTCATTAAATATTAGCTCTGTTCTTCACATTCAGCTCTCAGGATTTCATCCTCCTTGGATTTACCAATTCGGTTTATCAAGTTCTTCATAACTTATATATATATATATATATATATATATATAAAGAAAGAACAGTAAGATATATAATCCGGTGTTCTTATAGATATTTTTATTTTTACAAAATAATGCTCAATGTAAATTTACAGAGCATTAATATTTTTGCCGTGATGGTCATAAATTTTACTTAAATAATAATTAAAAAAAAGAAAATTGTAACCTAATAACATACATACTTATACTTAAAGTGAAAATAATTCTACATACTGTAAGGAATTCTAATACATTTAATTGTTCTTAAAACAAATATAGTATATTGAAAATTAAAAGTGAAAAAATTTCAAATCGTAGTTAAATAAAACGTATTCTAACCTAAACACCCACGAAAAATCTTTAAATATAAAAAATAGGAAAAAAATGCCGTAAGAATTTTTGCCGTTAACAATAAATATTTTTTTTAAAAATCCAGACGACATGCATTTAACGGATGTTAGATTTCATTGAAAAACACATCCCTACCCACTCCGAACCGTAACAAATAACTGATACATCAAAACATAGACATAATGAACGCGCAGACACCCCTAGTCTAGTGAAAGGGGTTTTATCTGTAACCTTGGGAACGTAAATTATGATTTTAGCTGTGTCTTTAAAATGCAGTAATTTTAAAAGTTACTCCAAAATTCGCTTGAGGATGAAATGGAACAAACGTCTTTAATTTAATTACAAAATTAAATTCTGAGCTTTTAGCTTCCATTTTTAAAACATGGTTAGAACTGTGTAGCGGAAAAAAACATATTTTAAATCAATTAATTTATAATATATATATATATATATATATATATATATATATATATATATATATATATAAAACAGACAGATAAATAGTTATGCGTGTGTGTGTGTGTGTGAGTGAGTGAATGTGTGCATATGTGTTAGTGCTTGTATTCATGTGTGTTTCATATCTTTATTCACAATCTGATGAACAATCCTCAAATTGCGGAATAAAATTACACACCACTAAACTATTGTAAATGTTTCTAAGAAATTTTTTTCTAAACTGAAATTCAAAAGATGGCGTTGTCTCGAGATATATATATATATATATATATATATATATATATATATATATATATATATATAAAATATATATATATATATATATATATATATACTAATATCAATATTC